TTATTAGTAACATTTGCTGACCTCTAGCCAGTCAAAAGTGTGCAAATATCGCGAAATATTGCCCAATCTCAGAATATAGAAGCACTGAATGTTTCATGGAATTTTCATGGAAGTTGTGTAGGGTATCGTATGGTCGGCTCCGTCGGACTATACTGCTCCGCTCAATGGTTTTGGCGTGGATTTTTTTAAGAATGATTTTTTCAAGGACCAGTAGAGCTTAAGGAGTGTATTTTTAAAGAATATTTTTTCAAGGACCAATAGAACTTAAGGAGTTGATTTTTAAATAATATTTATTAAAGGACCAATAGAGCTTAAGACGTGGATTTTTAAAGGACCAATAAAGCTTAATGCGTGGATTTTTTAAAGCACAGAATGTTTCATGGAAGTTGTGTAGGGTATCGTATGGTCGGCTCCGTCCGACTATACTGCTCCGCTCAATGGTTTCCCTATAACATCATTTTGATTCAAAATTCAATTTTTTATTCGTCGTACATATTTTTATGTGTATATCGGTTTTGGGGGTTTCTCATTTCATTTCTCATCTTTGCTTTTAACTATGACCACCGCCAGAGGGCATTTCATACATTGACTATCTCATACGAGATAGACTATGGTTCTAATATATATATATATATACAATTAGGGATCTTCGACAATTTTGTCTTAGGGTTACAAATAGAGTGACAAATTCAATATATCCTCCATATTTAAGTTGTAGGGTACAATTATTGTTTACACATTAACTAAACTTGTTGGCGGCAAACTTTGCTACTTAGCTGAATACTGTGATTTGAATGTCAATTAATTGGGTGGATTTTTTTTTAATTTTGTGTTTTTTTGAACACGTTCAAAGGCGAGCAATACGCTCTACAAGACGTAATGGGAATTTTAAGTAAATTAAAACACACGTTAATATTAATTTTCTTAATAGGGAAGTGAATATTTAATACTTTTATGGCTGGCCGTACGTTTGTCACTTTTTTCTTTGTTTTTTGGGGAAATACAAAGTGCGCTGATAATTTTTACTTTTTTGGTGACAAAGAAATAATCCGATCATAAGAGGGCTTCTGCCAGAAGAATTTCCTATGTCAAAATTTAAATCATGTGTTCTCTTCGCCAGAGTATATCTATTTTGTACTCTACTGAATTCTCACACATCAAAAAAAATAATAATGTGTTGTTACTTTAAAAATTTCGTTAAATAAATATTTATTAAACTACCTTAATATTTATTTAGAAATTAACCACAAGTTCACACCCACATTTTCATTATTATTTATGTACACAAAACATGACAATTGACATTTATTCTGTCACTATCAAGGACTCTCATTATAAATATCAATAATACAAGGCATACATTTCCCGGAATTCATCAATGAAATGTAATATTTTTTTTCTTTAAACAGAAAAAAAAACATTCACCACAACAACATGCCAAATGGTTTGGATGTTTTACAAGAAAAACAAAAATTCTTTGGAAAATTCATTGGAAATTAAAAGGGGTTTTCATTCATTATTTTCTACATCCAACTTTTCGAACAATCCTTACTTTTTGGTATATCTGTCAATATACAAAAACAAAAATAAAAGTTACGTAGCAGAGATGTTTGAACTATCATCACCTAACTAAAAACTCACACACACACCCAACCACCCACACAGACATGTCTGTACAACAAATTGACATGTTAGTCTTGTTTATCTTCACCTCCTGATATAACAAATAATTGACCGAGTAACGTCATTAGAGGTCGTATAAAACCTGATAGTGCCGCCAATACGTCACAGTCGACAGTTTTTCCTTCTATCACTGACGCATAATTCGACCACAGCTGGAGCCGCATAAGGAAGATATCAATGGGATAACTTGAAGACAAGCTATGTTTGATAGAAGTGTTTTAATAAAATTTACCATCACCATCAGGACACTGTGAAATATTAACCTAAACATGACATTTATAATGGATGAGCGACGTCGATGGTAACGGCAATGACAGTGTCAAATGTTTAATACAATTTCTTTAAACTCGAAAATAAATGTCTGTTAAAGGAAGACCGAACGTAGAGCTACAGGCGGAAATCTATAAAGGCGTGGATTTTTAAAGAATATTTTTTTCAAGGACCCGAAGAGCTGAAGGCGTGGATTTTCTAAAGAATATTTTTTTTCAAGGACCAATAGAGCTGAAGGCTTGGATTTTTTAAAGAACATTTTTTAAAGGACCAATAGAGCTTAAGGCGTGGATTTTTTAAAGAATATGTTTTCAAGGACCAATAGAGCTTAAGGCGTGGATTTTTTAAAGAATATTTTTTAAAGGACCAATAGAGCTTAAGGTGTGGATTTTTTAAAGAATATTTTTTAAAGCACCAATAGAGCTTAAGGCGTGGATTTTTTAAAGAATATTTTTTAAAGGACCAGTAGAGCTTAAGGCGTGGATTTTTTAAAGAATATTTTTTAAAGGACCAATAGAGCTTAAGGCGTGGATTTTTAAAGAATATTTTTTAAAGGACCAGTAGAGCTTAAGGCGTGGATTTTTTAAAGAATATTTTTTCAAGGACCAGTAGAACTCAATCCGTGGATTTTTAAAGAATTTTTTTCAAGGACCAGTAGAGCTTAAGGCGTTGATTTTTTAAAGAATATTTTTTCAAGGATCAGTAGAGCTCGCTGCCTAGATTTTTTTAAGAATATTTCTTCAATGGCCAGTAGAGTTCAAGGTGTAGATTTTTAAAGAATATTTTTTCAAGGATCAGTACAGCTCGCTGGTTAGATTTTTTTAAGAATATTTTTCAAGGACTAGAAGACCTCAATGCGTGTTTTTTAAATAATATAATAGAGCTCACGGCCTGGAGTTTTAAGGAATATTTTTTTAAAGGACCAATAGAGCTTAGGGCGTGGATTTTTTAAAGGAGCAATAGAGCTTAGGGCGTGGATTTTTAAAAAATATTTTTTTCAAGGGCCAGTAAAGCTCAAGGCGTAGATTATTAAAGAATATTTTCTGAAGGATCAGTAGAGCTCACGGAATGGTGTTTAAAGAATATTTTTTCGTGGATTTTTAAAGAATATTTTTGCAAGGACGAATAGAGCTCACGGCCTGGATTTTTAAAGAATAGTTTTTCATGGGCCAGTAGAGGTCAAAGCGTGGATTATTAAAGTATATTTTTTCAAGGACAAAGGATTTTTGTTTAATTTTTCTCAAGGACCAATAGAGGGCAAGGCGAGGATTTTCTTAATCTTTTTTAAAGAATAATAAAGATCAAGGCGTATATACTTTTTTTAGAGACCGATAGAGATCATGGCGTGGATTTAAAAAAAATATTTTTCAAGGAAAAAACTCAGGCCTGACTTTTTTAAAGAGCATTTTTTTAGGGAAGAAACTCATTATAAGGAATATTTTTCGAGGAAACTGATTTTTTCAATGACGCAATTCAGGCGTATATCTTTAAAAACTGATTTTTTAAAGACCCAATAAAAACGTTTATTTTTATTGGCCGATTTTATGCACATAATACAGGTGTGGAGTTTTCAGAACTCATTTTTCAAGGACCTAATACAGGCGTGGAATTCAAAATACTAATTTCAAGGACCTAGAATGGTGGATACAGCCGAAATAGTTTATAATGACACCATTTATATCGACATTTTGCCTTTAACGACTTATCAAAAACTCCCGAGAAAATTCTGTCCTTTCTTTTATATCGATTTCAACTACATATTGCTTATAACGACCGATTTCGCGGGTCCCTTGACCGTCGTTATAAACAATTTCGCGAGTATTATTTTTTTAAAAAGGTGAATTTTCAAATAAAAGGTTTTTAAGGCATGATGAAGCGTATTTTTCTAAATTTTTTTTTTTTTTTAAGAAACAAATTTTTAATTTTTAAAGGACAAACGTTATTTTTTCGAAGATCAAATAATGACTGTGATAACACATTTTATAAGGACCCAGTACTGGTCTTAATTTGTTAAATCCATTTTTTGTGGACGAAATACAGGCTTTTATTTTTAAAAATGCTACTTAAAGGACCAAATAATTTTGGTTTTAATTTTTTAAGACTAATTTTTGCATGACAAAGTTTTAATAAATACATTTTCATGGAATAATTATTACTAACGTGGGTTTTAATATCTGTAGAAATATATTTTTTCTCTGGGTGTATTCATCCCTTTGGCAACCATTGACGTTCTATTAAAAAAAAAATAATAATAACATTTACTGAACTATTGACAGTTTGACATTAGTATTTACTTAAAGATAAATAGGATTATTTATGTTTGTATGATAAGTAAACTATGTATAAGCATCAGAGTGTACCGAACAACTTTTCAGTGCAGAAAGTTTTTATGAAATATAAGGCAGTGTATTTTTTTCAACAAAGGTATATTAGGAATAATATAATTCGGATAGTGAAATGATCCCTTGTTAACTGATTATTTATTTAAGCCTTCTCTACGGCATTGGTGTTTCTTCGGCACACTCTAATACATTATTAATCAATAATAGATAATCATAAATAAATAAAATAATTGTGTAAATAAAATATTATAATGATTAATTATACGCAGTCAGTCAGTCAGTCAACTACAAACGGCATGACGACAAACACTCACACACAAACACATGATAACATTTAAAGGATGCGTCAGTGTGCCATTTAGCAAATATTTAATAAGGCAAACTACGTTATTACATACGTTTAAGTGTGTTTGTGTGTGTGGTTGTTAGCCAATGAATTAGAACAAGGATGGGCGAAATGTGAAACGGTAGTTCTGTCCAGCATGTCTTTTGTTATTCCGAAAGGCAACAACATGTTGTAAGGGAATACACATATTTTACTATTAAATTAAAAATACAAATATCTTGTTATAAAATTTAATGTAGAAATTAAAAATATATATTTTTTTAAATTGTTAATTTCTAATGTTTACTTTTGTCTTTCTTTGCAGTTCCAATTATCAGTCATCACCATCGTAATTTAAGTACTACCCCTACAGAGAGAAAATGACTGCCACACATCTGAGACGATTACCACTCATTCTATTAATTTATATATTTATTTTTGTTCCGGAACTATGGGCCTCGGCGTCCATGGATGAATTGGAAAGGAGTCATTTACGTGGTGATTTCCATACGCCATGTTTTTTCTTTCAAACTGTGAATGTGACGGGTGATAAAAGATTCCAAAATGGCTCGTATCTACACGATGGTGTTGTGATACCGCACAATTTGATTGGCGTCTACAATTATGTTTATAAAGATGCTGTAACCCAGACCCGAGTGCCACCACATTTACGTGGTTGTATTTGTAAACTAAAGCCATGTGTGAATTTCTGTTGTCCCTATGGCCAGATGCATAATGGCACGGAATGCGTTGATAGTTCCAGTGAACGAGAGTGGCCGCATGAAATAAATGTCACTCTACGGAATGGTTTACAACGGAACGCTAATGTATTTCGACAATTTGCTGTTGTGCCATTTCGTCCCTGCGAATCGATGTTTGCTCTGGATCCACAAACATATCCTGATGATGCCTGGCAAATATTTGAGGTGAGTTTAACTGAATAAAAATTCGTCAATAAAATGCACAATTATAGTTGGTCATTGGAAAAAAAAATATTGAACAATTAGACGTTTGAGGAAATATTCTTGTAAATTAGGGCCTGTATTTGGTCCCTCACAAATTATTCATAAAAAATCCATGACATGAGCTCCATTGGTCCTCCAATTCTATTGGTCCTTAAAAAAAATATACGTTTAAATTCCGACGTCTAAAGATGTATATTGAAGTTAAAACATATATTCTTAAATAATCCACGACTGATAATCAACTGGTCCTGGAAAAAATATAGGTTTAAAGTCCCACGTCTAAAGATCTATAGGCCCTTGAAAAAATATAATTCTAAACTCCCACGTCTAAAGATCTATAGGTCGTTGAAAAAATATGGGTTTAAAGTCAAAAGTCTATTGATCTATAGGTCCTTGAAAAAATATAGGTTTAAAGTCCCTCGTCTAAAGATCTATAGGTCCTTGAAAAAATATTCTTAACCAGTAAGGAAAGTAGTAAAGTCGCACTGAGCCTTCACCACTTTGGGTATATTCTACATATATGTCCTAATGTGTCCTAATATGTCCTAATATGTCCTAATATGTTATATATCTATATCTGAACCGATTTCAGGGAAACATTATAGACTTAATTCAGTACACTATGCCGAAATTCGTCCAAATGAAAAGATTTCCAGGGACTTTGGTGCACCATTTACCTAAAATCCGGCGAAACTATATATGAGAGTTATATCTAAATCTGAACCGATTTTCACGATACTTATTATACATCATTCCACACTTAATTCAGTTCGCTATGCGAAATTTGGTACACCATTTAGCTAAAATCGGACGAAGATATATATGGGAGCTATATCTAAATCTGAACCGATTTCCACGAAACTTAACACACATCATTCTAGACTTAATTCAGTACGCTATGCCAAATTTGGTGCAAATCGAAAGATATATAGGGACTTGGGTACACCATTTACCTTAAATCAGACGAAGATATATATGGAAGCTATATCTAAATCTGAACCGATTTCCACGAAACTTAACACATATCATTCTAGACCTTATTCATTACGCTGTGCCAAATTTCGTCCAAATCGAAAGATATATACGGACTTTGGTACACCATTTACCTTAAATCGGACGAAGATATATATGGGAGCTATATCTAAGTCTGAACCGACTTTCACGAAATTTTGCACACATCATTCTAGACTTAATTCAATACGATGTGCCAAATTTCGTGCAAATCGAAAGATATATACGGACTTTGGTACACCACTTACCTTAAATCGGGCGAAAATATATATGGGACCTATACCTAAATCTGAACCGCTTTTCATGAAACGTAGCACACATCATTTTAGACTTAATTCAGTACGCTATGCCAAATTTCGTCCAAATCGAAAGATATATAGGCACTTTGGTGCACCATTTACCTTAAATCGGACGAAGATATATATGGGAGCTATATTTAAATCTGAACCGATTTTCACGAAACTTAGCACAAATCATTCTAGACTTAATTCAGTACGCTATGCCAAATTTTATGCAAAGGGACATTGGTACACCATTTGCATTAAATCGGACGAAGATATATATGGGAGCTATATCGAAATCTGAACCGATTTTCACGAAACTTAACACACATCATTCTACACCTTATTCATTACGCTGTGCTAAATTTCGTCCAAATCGAAGGATATATAGGGACTTTGGTACACCACTTACCTTAAATCGGACGAAAATATATATGGGACCTATATCTAAATCTGAACCGATATTTTCCAATTTCTATAGGGTTCGTCCTTGGGCCAAACAAATGAGCTGTGCCAAATTTCATCCAATTCGAATCATAAATGCGACCTGCACTTTGTTTACAATTTAACATGAACAGACGGACAGACGGACGGACGGACATGCATAGATCGACTCAGAAAATGATTCTATGCATATTCTCAAAAGGAACCATGGGTCTATCTCGATTATTTTTGCCTGTTACAAACATATGCACAAAGGCATAATACCCTGTACCACAGTGTAGCGAATGTTATAAAAATCCACGGCTGATAATCAACTGGACCTGAAAAAATATAGGTTTAAAGTCCCACCTCTAAAGATCTATAGGTCCTTGAAAAAATATTCTTAAAAAATCCAGGCCTTGAGCTATATTGGTCCTTGAAAAACTATTCTTAAAAAAATCCACGTCTTGAGTTCTATTGGTCCTTGAAAACTATTCTTAAAAAAATCCACGCCTTGAGTTCTATTGGTCCTTGAAAACTATTCTTAGAAAAATCCACGCCTTGAGTTCTATTGGTCCTTGAAAATTTTTGCTTAAAAAATCCACATCTTGAGTTCTATTGGTCCTTGAAAAAATATTTTTAAAAAAAATCCACGCCGTGAGTTCTATTTGTCCTTGAAAAACTATTCTTAAAAAATCCAGGCCTTGAGCTATATTGGTCCTTGAAAAACTATTCTTAAAAATCCAAACCTTGAGTTCTATTGGTCCTTGAAAAAATATTCTTAAAAAAATACACGCCCTGAGTTCTATTGGCCCTTGAAAAAATATTCTTAAAAAAATCCACGCCTTGACTTCTATTGGCCCTTGAAAAAAATATTCCTAAAAAAATCCACGCCTTGAGTTCTATTTGTCCTTGGAAAAAATATTCTTAAAAAAATCCATGCCTTGAGTTCTATTGGTCCTTGAAAAAATATTCTTAAAAAATCCTTGGCCTTGATTTTTTTAATCCAATCCTATTTTGATCCTTGGAAAAATATCCCTTATTAATCCAATTTTTTTTCATTTTCAGAACGGCACCCTTTTTGTGGAAACCGGTGAATTATATATGACCCGCCAGGATTTTTGTATGTTGACCACATTGGATGTCAACGACACCAGCCGCCGTTATTTAAATCCAGCAATTTGTGAAGTTGGTTCCGGCCGTGGCACTGTGAAAATTATCAATGCCTACGCCATGTTGTTCTCCATACCGTTTATGGTTCTGACCATAATTGTGTATTTGGCCATACCGGAGTTACGTAACCAACACGGTAAATCTCTGGTGTGCTATTTATTTGGTCTAATTGTCGGCTATTCCCTGATGAGTGTTGGTGCTTTAAACGTCCACATGAATGTCATGAGTATTGAGTGCAAGGTTTTGGGTAAGTTGTGTGTGTGTGCGCGCCAAAATTAATTCCCTGTCTCATTTTTTTGTTTTGCCATATTCCTCCTTTTAAAGGTTACACCTGTTACTACTTTTTTATGGCTGCCTTCTTCTGGTTGAATGTTATCAGTTTTGATTTATGGCACAATTTCCGTGGCACCCGTGGCATCAATCGCTCACTGGAGAAGAAGCGTTTCATCATGTACTCGCTGTACTCTTGGGGCATTCCGGTGCTATGTCTCTTGGCCACATGGTATATTCAGGAATATGTGGATATGCCCGAACATTTAAAGGATGATCTGAAGCCGGGTATTGGTGGTGGTCATTATTGTTGGATAAACAGTGAGTAATTGCAAGGATATCCATTTTTCTTAATTTTATGACGATGCTAATTATTTTAGTGACCACCTGGGCTGGTTTCATTTACTTCTTTACGCCAATTATGTTTATTATTGTGGCCAATATAATTATGTTTGTAATGACGGCCTTGAAAATCCATCGAGTACAAAAGGAAATGGCCAGGATAATGGCCAAGGAGGATAGCACAAGGAATCTCAAAAAGGAGAAGGATAAGTATGCTTTGTCACCTCTAAATTTTGGAAAATTAAAAAAAAACTCTCCCATTTGTTTCCTTTAATTTTCTCCAACCCCTCCCCCATAGGTTTGGTTTATTTTTACGCCTCTTCCTGGTAATGGGTGTCACCTGGTCCCTGGAAATCATATCGTACTTTGTTGGGCCTGAAAGTAAATGGGCGAAAATATTCTATGCCGCCGATATCTGCAATGCTGTACAGGGTTTCCTCATCTTTATGCTGTTCGTTATGAAACGAAAGGTTAAAATGCTGATAACCAATCGGTAAGTTGGCTTTAGCGAAACTTGATTATTTGTGGCGTCCATTTGATTTGATTTTTCTTCCTTATTTATTTTCCAATTTATTTATTATTTTAAATGTAATTATTTAAAATTTCATTTTTGATTTAGTAGTTGTCGGGAACGACCATCCCGCGATACAAACACTACCACACTGGCCCAGTCTATGGTGCGACGACGTTTTCACGAAGTCTCTATACAAATTAAACACATGATCATGATACGACGTGCCCTATCGAGTAATACCTCGAATGTTCATTCGCATGAAGTGTGAATTAGTGATGATTTAGGATTTTTAATTTTTAGTAAATATTTTATTGGTTTTTTTTAACGGAAAAGTAAGACTGGCAGTGGTTCCCGACTCGATGTTTTAAATTATTTTCTCTCTATTGGTGTTGTGTAGATGTTGTTGCTTTTTTATTGCATTTATTTTAATTGTATATATTTAAATTGATGTGCATACAAATTAGCTATTCGAATTTTTTATTTTTCTAGCTATCGCTTAACGAATTTTAACGTTGCCATAAAGATTTCAGAATCTGCACCTTTTATACCCTACACAACTATGTTGTCAGGGTTTTATAGCTTTGTGCAGCCCCAAGAGTTTGTAACGCCGCAAAATATTGGTCCTAGAGCTACCTTTAAGTATACCGATCGTCATATCTCGACTAGCTGAGTCGATTTAGACATGTGTGTCCGTCCGTCCGTCCATTATAATTTATAAACACGATACAGGCCACAGTTATGGACCAATCTGCATGAAATTTTGCATGTAGGATGGGTTCTGGCCAATGAAGACCCCTATTGTTTTTGGTAAAGATTGGTTAATATTTAGGTTATGAAATGGACCATATACTTAATTTTGTCGATTTTTCTGGTCGCTCCAGAGGCCGCAATTATGACCCAAACATCGCGAATTTTTACATGGAGAAAGAATAATCATGCCTGTTTTGATAAAGATCGGTCAATATGTAGCGGTTCAAATGGACCCAAACTTTTGTGTGAAAAATTACAAAATTTGTATTCTAGAGCGTATAGATTTGCCCCTGAAGGGCAGAGACCCAAAAAGTTGATAGTATATTCAAGAGGAGTAGTTGTCCTTGAAATTGATATCAATTATATTGTCGCATGTACTCCACTTAAATATTTACAGGTGCTTACGTACCGAGATATTATTTAGTAACCCATTACCACACTAGAGGGCTTAAATATAGCGCTGATAGCTTTGACATTTTTCATGAGGATCCAGTTATGGTCAACGACAACGCCTATAATTTTCTGTGATGATCAGATAATAAATTGGGGATTAAGTGGACCGAAAACGTATTTTTTTTTTTTTTTTTGAAAGCCGAACATCACAACACAACCCATTGTGAAGGGAATCTGGACAAGTACTAATACTGAATATTAGTAATATTCGCAAAATATGTCAGTGAAGGGAAGAGATGCTGTTGATCTATAATTGGCAAGAGGGTGCAAATATCTCGAAATATTGCCCAGGCTCGGAATAAACATCCACAGAAAGTTAGAGTTCCGTGGTAGGTGTGTAGGTATTGTATCCGCTCCGCTCACTGGTTTTTGTAATTTTTGGGTAATTGTATTTTTGCCGGTAATTTCAAGATATATGTGGTAATTTTGGACCTGCAGAAAAGAATACAGGGTGCGAAGAATAATTAAAATACGCTCTTATTCACGAATGCTCACGGGCGAGAATTCGAATATTTTCAATTTATCGCGAATGATAAACTTAGAATAGATGAAGAAGCATTTGCAATCTCTCGCGAATGTTTGCATTGTACGAAAAATTCACGAACGATAAAATTTCGCTGTAAGCGTCGTCGATTCATTCTTTCGCGAGCATTCGTTGCTGAAGAATATTCTTTGGAGAAACTCACAAAACAAATGTTCGCGAATGCGCTCGCGAGCCCTGTTAAAAACAACAAAAAACAAAAATGTCATAAAAAAGCCGTTTTGAGTATTCGCGAGAATTTGGGAATGTTTGTTTTCATTCGTGAGAGAATGTCAGAGAGAATTTCAACCACCAAACGAAACGAACGAACGTTGTTGTGTGCTCTCACTCGTTTGTTATGCATGGGCGAATATGCTTTGGGTAAGAAAATTTGTTGTTACCATACACAACAACTGCCACGAAAATGTAACATTCTGCCGTTCTATACTCTGAGCCTGGTCAATTTACGCCATAAAATACAAATTTGGTTGATTGATTTGACTCTCAGAATATAGACTGATCATCATCTAAACAGCCGTTCTAAGTACTCGATCAGAAGCTCCCTTTACTGTGTAAAATATGTGACGTTCTGTATATAATAATGACCTCTAGGGCGACTAGAAAATATGACAAAAATAAAGTTTCGGTTCATGGCACCCCCTAAAAATCATCTCAACATCATCGAAAATTATAGGCGTTGTCCTTGACCAAAACTGGAACTTTGAAATTTCAAATAAATCTGCCCGACATTTCCGCCCTCTAGTGTGCTAAAGACTTACTAAATAATATCAGAATACGCAGCCATCTGTAAATATCTAGATGGGGAAAAAGAAATCCATTATTTTTTCGGCATCGATCAAACAATTTCAGATTTATGCTCTTTGGAAGGGTGAAATTTAGCAGTAAAAAACCAGTGAGCGGAGCAATATAGTCGGACGGGGCCGACCATACGATACCCTACACAACTACCACGGAACTCAAACTTTCTGCGGATGTTTATTCCGAGCCTGGGCAATATTTCATGATATCTGCACCCTCTTGCCCGATTATAGGTAAATACCACCCCTTCCGAATATTACGAGTATTCAGTACAGCTATTGTCTAGATTCTCTTCACCGTGGGTTGTATTTTGATGTTCGGCTTTCATTTGTGGTCTATAGATCGACTCGAAAATAACACAACAAATTAAGTTTTCGGTCCACTTCATTCCAAAATTATTTACGAGTATTCAGTACAGCTATTGTCTAGATTCTCTTCACCGTGGGTTGTGTTTTGATGTTCGGCTTTCATTTGTGGTCTATAGATCGACTCGAAAATAACACAACAAATTAAGTTTTCGGTCCACTTCATTCCAAAATTATTATCTGATCATCACCGAAAATTATAGGCGTTGTCCTTGACCATAACTGGAACCTCATGGAACATTTCAAAGCGATCAGCGCTATAGATCCGCTCTCTACAGTGATAATGGGTGACTAAATGATATACGAATACGGTGATACCTGTAAATATTTAGTTGTAACTCCCACATCCGAGCACACACAACAATATAATTGGTATTAATTTAAAGGTCAACCACTCCTCTTGGATATAATATTAACTTCTAGGGTCTATGTCCTTCAGGGGTAAATATATACGCTATAGAATACAAATTTTGAAATTTTTAACACACAAGGAAAAGGTCCATTTGACCCGCTAAATATTGACCGATCTTTATCAAAACAGGCATGCTTATTCTTTGGACCGATTCCCTTCTCCATGCTAAATTTCACGATGTTCGGGTCATTATTGCGGCCTCTGGAGCGACTAGAAAAACCGAGCAAAAATTTAGTATTAGGTCCATTTCATCACCTAAATATCAACTGATCTTTCGGTATACTTAGAGGTGGGTCTAGGACCAATACTTCGCGGCGTTACAAACTTTTGGGGCTGCACAAAGCTATAATACCCTGACAACCTAGTTGTGTAGCGTATAAAAAGTTGTGAGTTACAGGGTGTTAAAAATGAAAGTGGACAATGAGAAAATTCGGTACATTTTAAAGTTTTTCTTTGACAAAGGCGAAAATGCAAGCCAAGCGGCTAAAATTGTGAATGGTGTTTATGGTTCCGATATTGTAACAGCCAATTATGTGCAATTTTGGTTTCGTAGATTCCGTTCAGGAATTTTTGATGTTAAAGATGCTCCTCGCACAGGTAGGCCTGTCGTCGAAAATGTCAATAAAATCGGAGAAATGATCAAAGTTGACCGGCACGTTAGCAGTCGTAACACCGCCCAGGTGCTAAAAATCAACCATAAAACTGTTGGAAACCATTTACAATTGACCAGAAACGGCCAGAATTGGCCATCAGGAGAGGTGTCGTGTTCCACCAGGACATCCCAGTAAAAAATATTTGGAGTAATCCTCAACCGAGCAATAGAGGAGTAATGATTTCTTCATCCATTTGGAGTAATAAGCGAGCAATGTATGAATTTTGTTTTGCCAAAAAATTCCACGAAGTTGGAAAAAAATTGATGTCTCGCCTTATGCTCCAAATGGATCAATAAGGGATGCATCAAAGCATTTTTGGCATGTTTTTTTTTGTTTGATGTAACTGTTGTTTAACTGTTGCTTTCGTCATGTTCGATTATTTCTTTATGGTTGTCCGTCCATTTGCTCAGTTTTCTTGTGTCCGTCTGAAGTGAAACACGTGTTGTAAGTGTAAATAAAGTGTAATTAAAAAAATTAAAAAAGTGTAATTAAAAAAATCAATTGGTAAAATAATGTGTGATAATTTTGTTTCTAAACGTCATCTTAGACGGCTTGTAAAAAAAGAAATTGAAAATTTCTCAAATTAGGAATTTGTAAGGCGAAAACACTAAATATCCACCGAGAGAAAATTAACATGCGTGACATATATTGCAAGATATTTTGCGTACCTGATGGGGAATATTTTGTATTTATTCCTATTCTACACCACTGTCAAATTTAGTAAATACTAATATTTAAACTATATTTCAAACTATTTTTCTACCTTAAGAACCATGAATTTTAATGCGAACATATTCCAAACTCAATCAGTTTTTACGGATGAAACTGTACAAAGCACACCGAATAATGTCGCAGGTAATGTTAATTTATGTTCATTTCTAGAAACAAACAATGAAACAAAAAACACCAATAAAAAATTGGAAAACAAAATTGATCTCCTTCAAACTGAAGTCGAAGCTTTAAAGAAAATTATGTGTAAACAGACAATTTTGTTAGAACAGATCGTTAAACACATACGCCCAACTAGCAAGGATCTCAAAATTTTTCCAATAAATTCACTAGAGGAATTAAATTCGGCAGAACAATTAGTTAATAACGAGCCTGAATCAGAAGTGGTAAGCCAGAGTTTTTAATGCATAATTTAAGTGAATTTGGTACTAAAAGCTAATTATATTTATCTTTAATTATTTTCAGATATCATATATGAAACTAAAATTTGGCAAAGACAAAATAGAAAAGGCGTTACATGCAATGATTGGTGACAATATTTTGCTTCGGGTAAATTGGGATGGAGCTAAAAATAAGACAGCCATAAACAAATATCGGTTGTTTAACTTTTTTTATTTCGGTAATAGCTTGATTTTA